TTCCGTTTATGATCTTATTTGTTGTTTAACGCCACACTCAGGTATATGACATCGGTCTGTAAACAATCTAGTTTGGACCAGACCAATTGAAATGACCACAATATTGCTATATGAAAACTATTACATATTGGTATTATTACCAATAATACTAGCCGTACTAAACTATAACATACGATATATTTTGGATTACACTTTTTTTAGTAGTAAACTAGTAATAGCAGTTGTGTGGCAGGCCCGACTAATTTTACATTAAGTTTTCAGCATATTGAAGTCAGACTAGTGATAACTGCTTTCGTTTAAACCTACGCTAATGACTCTACACCAGCATCGAGCACAACAACTATCACACATCACACACACGTCCATCCTGGGGCGGTGGGGTAGCCTATTTCTGGTGTCCCCCGCCGTGATGTTGCTGGAATATTGCTAAAAGCGGTGTAAAAACAAACTCAGTCAGTCAGTCAGTCACGTCCCTCCTATCATTTGAAACTGTTCTTACACCAACAAAACCTCTTCAGCTTTTACTTTTGATTTAAGTAGTCCTCATAAATATAATGCTTTAAACATTAAATTTAACAATGGAGTGGTTTACAACCTCTGTTAGTGTTCCATAGTTCAAAGGCTATTTTCCTTTACTTTATGTCAAGAAAACCTCCTTGTGCTCAGGGAATTTAAACCGACAGCAGCTTCAGACAATTGCGCCGTAATCAAATTAACGGATATAATCAACTGACACCGCAGTAGACACATCTTTTTTCGGGTTGGAAGAAAAAGTAGTAGTAAAAAGTGATTGGTACTCTTTTTTTAAAGATCAAACTGACGATCTGAAATAGGTTTGCTCATAGTTCATATTAACGACTTGAGCAGTGATGCTATTTCTCAATATTTTATGGGATTATACTTCATTGAAAATTAATGTATTTGATATTAGTTCAATTTCTTTGTACGAAATACACACGGTGGACATTTTGTGCCAAATTTCCAAATTAGATTATGCCTCAAGATGTTTACAATATATTTTAAAGTCCATTCTCAATGTTATTAGCCATTTCGAAACAACCGTTATTTCTAAAGCATCAAATAATATTTATTTCAAATACAAATTCAACCATCGGGACATTACAATCATCCGAAAACATATATCTACAAATATTAAACTAATAACTTGAATGCCAAACTAAAATATCCTTCCAAATTGAAATATCCTTAACATAATATTGTTATTGTCGGGATGTTTTCAAAACTCTTCGCGTAAGAGTATCAGCTATCACTAGATTATAGATAGCTACCTTCGAGGAACATAGCGTAATGGGATCTCTGTTAATTCAGAAAATGAATAGACCGTCTCTAGTGGTACAACCTAAGGGTCTCTTAACTGAGAAGGTCAACTTCTGCAAGGGTTCAGCTTGATTGTTGTTATATACTTAAAAATGACTGTGTATTTGTTTCGGTTTATTGAGGTCTGTATACGCAGTATTATTGACAATAATGGCAACTAACACGAGTGAGTGAGTGAGTGGCTGGGACTCACACTGGGGCTTAATCCTGACACTTCAACCACTTGGCTCTGAGCCTCATCTCAACATAAATACATCTATATGAAATCCAGAGCTCACTCTACCATATGCTTACCATATATGCTTCGAAAGGGCATTGGTGATGAGCTGATGAGTTCATTAGCTAATGAGCTCATGAATATGTGTTACATGTCTCATATACTTCTCATCAAAAGTTTAGACTCTCTAGTGTAAATATAGCCACTTACTTCAGTCAACTGTTCTAAACTAAATTTTGCAAAATATGCCATACTGTTTAAAGGTATGTTTACATATGAACTGATGTATTGTAAACCAATTCGTAACGTTGAAAAGATTATTGTCATGAGTTCAGTAAATGAAGAAAATCAGTGAAAATTGGCGAATTCTTAACATAACTGTACACCACAACGCAGCTGTTCACATGCACGATATTTGCACGTGCTTTTCAGCAAATTGATGCATGAAACATACATATATAACAAAACATATAGTGAATGTTTTAAGTGAGTCGAAACTTTTGAAGATGAGTAGGCAATTATCTATTTGGAACACTTTGAGATATGTCTCTAGTGAATCAAAATTGAAATAATATTCTACAACTAAACGAACATTCCTGAACTCTATACGCTTTTCAATGAACACGTAGTCCAGGAGAATCATGTGAGACATTTATAAGAGATATTAAATATAAATAACTTCACCATTAAGTAATTGAGAAAGGCCACACATGCCTATGGGAGTGTCCATTTTACCAATATGGTTTCCCAGGCTGATGAAGGTCAGACGGGGAGAGGCGTTGATTTCAGACACGTAACTCACGCAAGTCAATGTGCTGCTCTACTGCACAATATAAGAGGAAAGAAAGACGAAAGTGTCTCCAGGAAATGAAGAATGGTACCAATGGATCCAATTTATCCTGACGAAATCCAAGGAAAACGTATTGAAGATCATACATCATTCGTCTGCAAATTTGCTTAAGCCTCGCGTCATTTAGCCAATTGTTATACTGTGTGAGATACTGGCAATTGATAAATGTACTTGATTACCATGAACCATGACGGAAAATTTGAGGAGTGTGTCCTTCGTTCTGACAGTACGAATACAGTTAATCACCTTATCACACATGCCACCTCTGCCATTAGCATTCAATGCAGTGTTTCCTATCAATGTCAGTAACAAGTTGCAATCACGAAGGACCTTCTAACTCTTTGACCAGATAAAGATTTACAATCTCATCCGGTCTTATTGCTTTTCCTGAAGTGACACTGTACGGCTTGATCATGTCTGCGACTTGTCCACAGTGGCAGAGGTAGACTGTGGTGGAGAATTATCACATTGGGTTACGTGATGGTGTTGACTGACGCTCCCAACAACTTCTGCAGTTGCTTATTGGAACCTGGTCAGATCCCTTGTTGCGTTGGGATCACATAGTGGTTAATAACTGGTCACCGAGGGCCATCGTTGGCTGATATCCCGACCGCTAATTAAAATTAGTCTATTTCTGGCCGTAGTACGTGTGATGGAACACACTCGGATGGAGGGAGGTTTTCAAGGAAATGCAATATACATCTCCCGGAGTTAAATGTCTTGAGTTTCGCGTTAATAGGAAGGAAGAGAGCAGATGCTCTTTGTTCGGATGCAGATTCACTGTACCGTGTGATGCTATTGCTTCTGAAGAGCCGGTAGTCTGGCGATGTTTTCTAAAAGTACGAAGAGCATTATTTAGTATTAAGCTTAAGATCAGGAGGCCGGATTTAAAAAGAACACAGGACAGCATCACGCACTGTTCGTCACCAAACTGGAAGAAAATCCATTTATGTTTCAAAGAAATTCAGGCATCCATTTTTATGAAATGACCCCTTTTATATGCTGTACGTTGTCAAATCCTTGAAGTCCTGTGGTAGACAAATGTCACGTAACATTTGATGGGTATGTGATGCGTTTCATTACAAGATGACAGGGACTGATTATGATCATATTGTCCGCCGCGGACAAAAAGTGTCAACTTCTGTACGTCCCGTTTCTTTTCTTGACGACTACGGACAATGTGAATTGTATTTTATCAAAGAAACGTATTGTTTCACAAACCTGTTTATATCTTCGCATACACTCCTGTTGGGATTCTGAGTTATAATAGGTCCCAGAGGGTATAACAGGCCATAGAAACCAAACTAAATGCTTGTCCTGGGATCTGGTTGTTTGGTTGATTGGGTATCATCTTTTCCCGACGGTGGTGAACAGTAGTCCACTGTAATATGAATGAGGTATCATTGTTCAGACTTTATTATTTTTCTGGGCACATTTATATTGATTAAATATTGCTGACCTTGACAAACCGCAGCATTCCCTCACTCACACATTGTCAGTGAGGATGACTATCTATATGTGAATGTTGGATGATGTCATGATTCTTTATCTCGTTTCGAATTACATTCTCACAGCATCTGCAGATCACAAGCATTAATTTTGTAAAAAATGGAAAGGCTATTACATCGATAAAGTCACATGGATGGATTATACCTCTCTCTCTCTCTCTCTCTCTCTCTCTCTCTCTCTCTCTCTCTCTCTCTCTCTCTCTCTCTCTCTCTCTCTCTCTCTCTCTCTCTCTCTCTCTCTCTCTCTCGTTGTTGAGGATCAACTATAGTTCAACGTTTTTGACTATAATGGTGTGTGAGTATTTTTCATTATTTAGATGTCAAGGATATATGGTTCAGTGGTTCAATGTTTTGAAGCAGTCAGTCTATTCTGAAATCTCATTGAACAAAAGAGCTATCTCTGTTTATCGGAGTTACATTGATCCCTTGAGAGCCCAGACAGCAGCGTAATTGCTAAACCTCAATACTGCTGTCTGTGAGAACAGAAATATAGCAAACATTCCATCAATAATATATTCAATGCTTTTCCATTTGGAAAGAAACGGTGAAGTAAATGTATGAATGAACGCCTATACAGAAGTCAGAGTTTTTCTCAGAGAACTCTTATCATCATTGAAAGAATCAGTGCGTGTCGTGAAAAGTTGGAAATATACTATGAAAATATTTGGAAGATTGTTAATAAAGAGAATCATACAGTCTAGATGTAGTCAAAGTACCTTTGGTTTTAACGAACATAACAGATATCCGTTTATGTACAATTTCATAGACTGCGGTGATGAAATATCGTCACTCGAATGACGGCAAATTAAATTCCATGCTCGTTTCGGTCTTCTAAAGTTTCGGCTCACAACCTAGCATCAAGTAAGTAGAAATTATAGTTAGAATATCACAAGTTCCTTGAATAGCGCAAAAGGACCAATGAAAGGGCCTTGAATCTGTTAATATGACCATCCCTGTCCAGGGGCTAGTTTACCGCCATACAATATGGAACAATTAGTATAATCCAGGTAATGTTGTACGGACAGCGGAAACCTGAGCTCGCTGTCTGTCTAGTAAAGCGCAGCAGCGTCCGCTCGCCGTGGATCGATGACGGGATTTGATGCAGAGAGTGACACTCTCGTGAGATCGCAGGACAGTGACTGCCAGGAAGACTGCCCCTCTGCGTATGTGTTCTCTCCGCAACCAATAGGAACAGCCCAGTCACCCACGCAGGGTGTAGTGGGTATATCTTCACAACATTAGAAGATGACGATTAGGAACCAACTGCTGCCTCAAAGATTACGTGTTGAAAGTATATAGTAGAAATGGTAGCTTTTGCTAAGGCGGTTTGTTGCTTGCTACTCTTCGGGGTACCGGCTTCTACACAAGCTAAGGCCGTCGTCAGCAACGACACTGATGTTCTTCTCGACCGTACCCTTAGTGCCTTGGGTGCCACTCTGGCCTTCTTCAGCAAGGAGTACCGAAGTGTCAACTTGGATGCCATTATTGGCACAAGGATCGTTGAAGGTAAATTTGATGAACTTCATTTTCTATGTCGATAGTTTAAACATTTCAAGTTTCAACAAAGCGAAAGTACAATTCAAAAGTAAGATTATCGTGTCACAAGCACAACGTATAGAACTTACATTGTAACTTTAATGTTTCAAATACATTATCCGTCTCAAGGTTTCAATGACTGTCAGCAGTTAACACAAAAGTTTTCAGAAGTGTCCGCTATAGACTCCCACCTGCGAAGTAATAATGTTTAAACATAAGAGAGTTTTGAATTCACCTGATGAAGGAGTAAGGATATACTCCGAAACGTTGTGTTCCTCAAAATAAAGAAGTTGACATCCATAAAACTCTCTTCCTCGTGTGTATCACTTCTAAATGCCGTTCAAAGACCTAATGTTTAAACCTGTGCTCACCAACAAATCACATACGCATTACATGGATGATAGAATGTGTCAGTCAAGAATGCGTCCAACAAATACTTGTAGAAAATATTCATTTCTACTTCCAGGCATATATACAGCGTTATGCATACAAACGATGTCCACTCTATTCGGTAATCACAATGATTTGTGGTATAACAGTGTATTACCACATGATGAATTCGATCGATTCTGTTATTGTAATCGTGTTGCCCAATGTTATAATAAATGACGGTAGCGTAGTCACTACTTCCGATTCCCCAACACAAGTCCATGAACGAGGCATGGCTATTACAATGCAGATGGCTATTCCAAGATCCATTCATCTTCCCAGTCTGATTGATGACGAGTTTATACTTTCCATTCGTATGTTAATCTTAGATCGCATCGTTATGTGGGTGTCAAAACGTGCTGCTCGCGATATATCCTTCGTCTGATTTTAAACGAAACAGGAAAATATATCGTATATCTATAATTCAACGTTGGGATCAGCTAACGCAGACTTTCGGCTGTACGTGATCGATATTCTCAGTTAAATGAAAAACACAATGTCAACTTTCATTTCAAGTTTCAGATGTCTCACGTAATGAAATGTGTGAAAATATATTGTTTTAATAGCAAATGGACACTGAAAAAGAAAAAAATATTGTTACAAAAACATATCATTTGATACAGTGGCTGAACTGTTTTGACAATGTTAACCGTTAGGTATCATTTTAACCAGTCCGTGTTTTTATAACTGATGTCTGTATTTTCCACATTAAGCCCGAATCACTCACTAACTCACTCACTCACTCACTCACTCACTCACATTTCTGAATACCTTCGTTGATTCCATTTTAGAAGTTGGAAAGTACAAGACAGACCTTTAGCTTGACAATGTTACAAGAATCTGTATCGAAACGGCACACTCAGGAAATATACAAAATTGTTATCCATAAAGTTTGTCTACTGACATCTCTAAAATAATATTAAATGTGTCCAATTATATAGCGCCAAACTCCTAACTAGGTATGCTCATAGCGCTAACGAGGCGGTGGGGTAGCCTAGTGGTTAAAGCGTTCGCTCGTCACGCCGAAGGCCCGGGTTCGATTCCCCACATGGGTACAATTTGTGAAGCCCATTTCTGGTGTCCCCCGCCGTGATATTGCTGGAATATTGCTAAAAACGGCGTAAAACCGTACTCACTCAGTCAGTCATAGCGCTAACAATCAACAGCACAGCACATTATTACCCCGGATAACCCAAGCTACCTGTAAGGCGCTAGAAGGTTATAGTCACATGACCTTTTCCACCGGGTACCCATTTTCCTGCTGGGTGAACAGAGGCAAGTTTGAACAAACTCACTATAAAGCAGGTGAACACCTGGTGTCATCACTGATTTCATTGTCCCGTTCATATCATGTCATCACTGTGTTTCCTTTTACACTCAATACAATCTGTTTCATCAGAACATCGAGACTGATCATTCCCTCGTCTTGACGTTTAAAATGTACATTAAATAATCTACCTAAAACACATTCAACATGCACTAAAAGGATTTACTAACTGTTCTTACTTTTGTGGAATTAGATATTGCACTGATTGTTCCAGAAATACACTGATCAGACACTTGTATGGAACTGCGGTAGTGATAAGACAGCAATTCCTCTTGATGTCTGCTATAAAATACTAAAAAGCAGTAACATTTTACCAGCTAACATGTCAAACTGCCATTGGTTGTCATTGGGATAACTCATTAATTCCACAAAGAACTAATTGATTTGTCGTTCTCTTTTGTATTCATTAAATCTTCATGTGGAAACAGCCCTAAGGTATCTAGGCGCTATTTCTTATTTTTTAATTTAAACACAAACCATACTTGTTAAGGCAGTAAACAGGGTGGTCGATTCAATTATAATCTCCAGAATGGCATAGAATCCGTTCTCTTCCCCTTCTATGAGGTTTCAGGTTCAAGATGATATTTTACTTGTTTCAATTGAGAAAGGGAATTCTCATTAAGATATCACATTTGGGATGTTTCTGATTTAAGCGGTCTTTCGAAATCGAGAATTAATGCATTTTTCTATTGTCGCTAATGAATCCACAAAATAAGAATGTTTCCATTTAAACCTTATTTCATGAGATAACCATTAATGGATGCGTGTTGGCAGTTATGCATCACGGTAATCTACTGTGCAACCTGACCCACCTTAATGTAAGTAACCCGAGACAACTCATCTATATTGAATAATTGTATAATGAGAAATGTTATTTGCATCTGGGATAAAACGACATGCACGGATGATATCATTCAATCATTGACCTCCCCCGTCTAAGCAATCATCTATTCTATGTTCACCTGTATACGACACATCGTTAAAAACCCATTCATTAAAGTAAATAATACGTAATTGAGAATGAAAAGAAACACCTAAATATATCACGCCTTCATACGAACCCCAAAATGTGTATGGAACCTAAAGGATTAGGGTTAGGTAATCTGTGACGTTGAAACGAGATACATATCTCGTGCCAACAAAATAGTAAGACTCAGAAACGAGACATTTATGTCGTACAAACGAAATGTTTAGTCATTCTAACTAAATTATGAGCCTGGTATAGTCAAAGATATTTTAAACTAATGTACGTTTAAAGGTTTCGTAATTACATGTATCTCCTAAGTCTTGTAAACATTGCTTTTAGGTTTTGGTAGTACACCATAAAACTTGGGTCTTTCCTGCTCAGCTACTAATTAGCAATCTTTTAGGCTGCAGTTTGTAAGCATTCAACTTCTCCTTCTGCTGCTGCTTCTGCTGCTGTTTAGACATACATCACCTGGGTCGACCTAGTTTTTAAGTGCACACTTTGCAATTGACATCTGAGGTTTAGTGCTTTTTCACTTTTTGAAATTATAAACGACCAACCCCTTTTAATAGCCACAGAATGTTAAATTACGATTCAGACAATATCATACGCATGTGTTTATGAACATCTATCAAACAGTGATCATACCTTAGGCTGGCTCTAGGTGTTAATCTGATCCTTCGCTCCTACGTCATATACACATGGAAAGGCAAGTCAATTGCTCGCCTAAACGACCGCGAGAATTGCTATGGTACTATTAAAAAATATTACTTGAAAATGTACACCCAATGAATGAACATTCAATGTCTGTAACATTAGAAATTTACTTCAGCCTTTGAGGTAACCCTGATAAAAAAGCACTTTGACCAAAAAGCTTATAACGGCCCTTCAATTGTGGCAACGGTTATTCCGACTGCCCTATGCGTCATAAACATGTCCCTACATATTCATAGCATGTTATCTTGAATCAAACGAATCATGCCTCCTATGGGAGGTTACAGCGGGTTTTAAGAAAAAATTGAGGTATCGGTGAATATATATTGCACGTGTATTTTCACATATCTCGAGCGGCCATGGACCTTTTCAAAATATTACTTTTCGAACATGTCACTCTGATATATTTTGCTAAATGCCTCTGACACACAAACAAATATTAAGTGAGTGACGCTTGACGCCGCTTTTAACAGTCCAGTAATATCACGGCGGAGGACACCAGAAATTGGATTCACATATTGAATCCTACTGAGTGTTTTACGCCGCTTTTAGCAATATTCCAGCAATATCACGGCGGGGGGCACCCGGTATTGGTTCCACACATTGTACCCATGTGGGGAATCGAACCCGGGTATTCAGCTTGACGAGCGAACGCTTTAACCACTCGGCTAGCCCCACCGCCCTTGAATCATAAATAAGTGAGGTCTTCAAGGTTGCAAGTTACATGTGTCTTCTTTGACGGGCAAGCAACGCTTTGCCGAAACATTCTCTAATTTGTTTTTCACTTCAACAGAGCCCATATTGCACAGTTTTTACACCGGCTAAAATGCCAACCCTAACGAGTAAGATTAACGAGACACGGTTATTTACATTTACTCCAAATGCAATACAGAGCAAATGTTGTTACGCCATTTATTTTGATAACTTTCACGACAGCCCCAGTACAAAAATACCATTGATTGACAGTTGCTGTCCACATTGTTTGGACATGAGATACGGGAACTATCGACTGGCACATGTATTTGTTAAAAAACATTAAACAATATTCAGCCTTCGGTAATGTTAACAATCAGCTTCAGGGTGATTTAAACGTGTTGTCTTAGTTTATCTGTGCAAACTACACTGTGATCATTGTAAACAGGGAACACGAGTGGCCAAATCGTCTTTCCGCAGTGCAGAGTTGCCTTTCTTCAGCGTATCAGAACCCTATGATACCGGGTTAGAATTCGCCGTGCTTATGCTTCTGGCTTTGTCAGAACCATGTCTGTAAAGGTAGATTTATGCTTAATAAGTTGGGGGAAACCCCTTTCGAAAATCATAAGAATCTCAAGGCTTTAGTAACTATTGAAAAGGTTTAATAGGCATGATGAAGATGTTTCCAACTTTGACACACGATGGATGAAAATGATACCTGATGCAATTCCCTAGCCTATTTCACTGTATGTTTTGTGTTTTGCAAAACAGTTGACTTGACTGTGCGTGTGTTTGTGACAGATGCCACAGTTTAGGCACAATGCGCTCACCTTTTCCCAA